TTTGCAACGTGAACCGAGCGCATCCCCCCGGGTCTCGGGGCGGCTTCTGGCGCCTCCCCGCGCAGCCGACATGCGAACACTGTGCGCGCGGAATTTTCAAAGTTTAAGAGCATATCCGGAACAAGTAGCGATTCGTGCGATATATACACGCCGCGTCTAATCCTTCGGATGGATGCGAAGATCGTGGAATCGGGATGCATACGCCGCAAAAGGAGCACGGTGAGGCAACAGCCGATGAACTGCCTCTTAATGACAGCCCCGAGTTTATGGTCTCAGACGAAATTCTACGAACTCGAGAGATAAAGCGTAAGAGTGAGAGAGTGAGGGGGTGAGGCGGAGGGGGGGGGGATTGTTATTACGGCAAACACAAGAAATTGTAGACGGAGCCACTCGTTTTCGCGAAGCTGCGTACGCAAGCACCTGCGGCTTCGAATCGAGCCCCAACTTTTGCTTCATTATCCATAATTATGAGTAACCCTAATTTGGGAGGTTGCCGAAACGAGAGAGAGGGAGGGAGGGAGAGAGAGAGAGAGAGAGAGAGAGAACGGACGAAAGTTCCGAACGCGTCGATTACACACCGTAAGAAAAGTACCGACGTTGTCACAATCAGCCGATTCAGCCGTGCTTCTTCGTAATTATTCGCCCTTCTTCAAAGTAGTTATCTACATCAAAGGACTCGGGTGGATGAAAACAAAAGGGCCCGGCGGGGGAGAGGAGGAGGAGGAGGAGGAGGAGGAAGAAGAGGAGGGAAAGAGGAGACGAGAGACGAGCAGCAGGAGGAGGAGGTAACTGGTTGCGTACACGGACGAAGGGATCGCTAGAAGAAGAGGGGCTGCGGAGTTCGGGTTAGGTTGGTCGGCTGACCCGGTTGACAATCGATTGACGGCTGTCGCCAAGACCTCCACCCTTGCCTCTTTCTGTTTCGACGACCCCTTCATCGTGTTGAACCCGTCACCCTCCTTGGCGCGCGCAGGACCTGTCTGTTCCGACAGGTCGAGTAAGTTCCCCTAATTATCCCTCCTTCATGGGAACAGGAAATCGAGCCTTCCTACTATTAGCCGCGTTTCATATTTCATTCCGCTAATTCCTAATTCATTAACATTTTTCGCCCGCTTCTCTCCTTATATCGATCCCGCGCCACGTGGTGGGCCTCGCGGCAGCGGCGGTCCTCGTGTATCGACGCGACAGATGGCGAGCAGATGATGTCACACTGGATGATGCTGACGATTATTGCGCGTCCGTTGTTTAAATATTATGATAGCCTCGATGCTACACGCGATCTTTTCATTTCCTCCCCGGTGCACAATACGTCCAGTCGTCACGGGATAAAGGCTACGCTCCTCGCGTCGTACGACGAGAGATAAAATCGCCGGGAATAGCCCTAGTCAGTTATCGCCGGGGCGAAAGAAAGAGGGAGAGTACGAGCGACGGAGGAGAGGGGGTACGCCGCGCGAAAGGAAAGGCGAGGGAAAGAAAGATTCTTTCCGTCCGCGTGTCGCGGCGAGTAACAGTACAATCCATTTCCCTCGTTCTATCTGCGATCCTGAATTTAATTAAGGAGTTGCCAATGGCCGCCGATAAATTGTAGCTCCACCCGCGTTTCCCATCGCGGTCGTGAGACGCGCGAGAGCGACGAGGCTCGATGACGAGGGAGGCGAAGATGAGAAGGTAGAGTCGCGAAGTAGAGCCGAGGTGTGTAAAGCAAGACCACGGGGACGCGCGAGGGGTGAGTGCGTTGAACGAGAAAATATACAGCGAACGACCGTCCCTCCCTCTCGGCGAGGGGAAAGGGGGGCGGGTGAGAAGAGGAAGTTACGTATCTATACGAGGAGAAGAGTGTACACGCGAGAAGCCAGCACGTACACACCGATTCATCGGCGCCGCGTGCATTCGCGCATATACACACGCGTGACTTCTACCTCTGGCTCTCTCTCTCTCTCCCTCTCTCTCTCTCTCTCTCTCTCTCTCTCATCCTGAGGAAGGTTTGCGGATGTGGTGGGATGGGGTGTAGCGGGCGGTGCTGGATATTATTTGCCGAGGACAGTGACAAACGCCCGTCAACGTCACTTCCACTCGCACCCTCGGCTTCCTCCACCACCACCACCACCATCACCACCACCACACCACACCACACCACCACCACTACCACCAGCATTATTACTACTACCAGCAACGGCAACGGCAGCAGCAGCAACGGCAGCACTACCACCGCCACTAGCGTTGCCGCTCCGTCGCCCGTGTGCCCTCCGCTGCCTCCTCCCCCACCTCCCTCGCTCCTCTCAGGAGGCGAGCCAGGAACGTGACGAGCATATCTAGCTCTGGACCAACTCGTCATCTCCGCCAGCCATCAGAAGGCGCCTCTGGTGACTGCGATGGCACTACTACTACCACCACGGCCGACGCTGCTACTACCACACCAGCACCGCCACCACTACCATCAACACCGCCGTCACCGCCGTCGCCGCCGCAGCTACATCACCTACCACCACGGCCGGCGCGCGTATATACGTGAAATCGAAGAAGGTGAGAGGCGCGCGCTGTGGCGCGCGGGTGGAAGGTCGGACGGGCGAAGGAGGAGGAGGAGGAGGAGGAGGAGGAGGAGGAGGAGGAGGAGGAGGAGGAGAAGGCGGCGGCGGCGGCGGCGGCGGCTTGACGTATCGCGGCCTCACGTCATCCCGTCTTACTCGACGCTGTCCGTCAGACGAACGAACTTCTGCTGCACGGAGGATATACGAGCGCTCCTCCACGATTTTGCTCCCGTGAAAAATCGTTATTGCCCGAGTCCTCTCCGAGATGACGTTCCGCCCGCGTTCCGCGCGCGTCTCCTCCGAGGCTCGAATTTTCGGACAATTTTTTCGACTTATCGCTTCATCAAGCGATTTGCGCGCGCGCTCACACGGACTGGTGTCTCTCCACCCCGACCATCTGACCGTCTAACGCCAACCGTTGTCCTGTCCCCCTGTGCCTTTGCCCTTTGGCGGTCGGTTTGGTGACCGGAAGAAAACTTCGCCGCTGGGAATCGCGCAACCCGGCCGCGGACATTACACCGATCTTCCCGCCGTCGTATACGTTCTTTGTAAAAACAGGAAAGAAGGAGAAGAAAGTCGCGCACCTCTCAAACGTTACCTTCATCCGGCCGCGTTGACTCGAGACGAGCAACGACTGGTGCGTGGCTGGATAAGAATAAAATTCAGGATTTGCCACGCTTTGTCGCGAGGTAAATGCCGCACGGACGAGAATATATCAGGAGACGCCGGTCGTGCTGGAAGTCACAGGTGTTCTCGCAGCGCCTTTGACCGCGTTAGCCCGCATCGCTCATTATCTTACATTCGACACGAGCGAGCGCGTGTTCCGCATCTAATGTCGTGTACCGGCGGACCGAAAATATATCAACTAGACGAACGCTCTAGTTGACCGTGCCTCGAGAGAAAGAGGAACAACGAGGGAGGGAGGGAGGGGGGGAGAGAGCGAGAGAGAGAGAGAGAGAGAGCAAGGGAGAAGGGGGGAGGTTAGTTCACGCAGAAGGGTGCACGCTTCAGCACTGAGACGTACGGCGAAGGGGTCGCGGAGGGGCGTAAGGTTGGCGCAAGAGGGGGGGGGCAGGGAGGGGCGGTCGAGGGGGTAGGATCGTACCAGAGGGGGAAGGAGAGTCAGAGGGGCGTAGGTAGTCATTATGTGGAGGGAGGTGACGTCACTGACGGTGACGGATGGCTACACGTCAGGCAAGTATAAACCCCATGGTACCCAATAAATTATTGCAACTATAAATTACTTCTGTGCTCACGATATAATGCTACGGCTACTGCGGCGAACGTTGTGTGCGTAGGACGTCGTATGTGCGCGTGTGCGTGCGTGCGTGCGTGCGTGCGAGCGAGCGCGCGTTATGTGGATTTGCGTGTCGGTCTCCTCTCTGTGTACGTACGGTCGTGACGACACCCGCTGGTGGGGCGAGCAAACAAAGGTGGTACGATGCCAGGCTAACTAGGCTCGATATGGGCATAGGTAACCCCATATACAGGACTTTCTTTCTTTCCCCTCTGATATTCTCTTTCGCTCTCTCTCTCTCTCTCTCTCTCTCTCTCTCTCTCTCTCTCTCTCTCTCTCTCTCTCTCTCTCTCTCTCTCTCTCCCCCTTTCTCTCTGTCGCTGTTTCTCTCGCTGGTCTCCTCTCGCTCTCTCGTTCGCCTTCTCCCTCGTTCTCGCTACCTGCCCTTCTCTCTCTCTCTCTCTCTCTCTCTCTCTCTCTCTCTCTCATCTCTCTCTTTCTCTCTCATCTCTCTTTCTCTCGCGCTTTTTTTCCGCTCCCTTTCGTGCGGTACGCGCGCAAACGGGCTTCTCGATTTACGAACGTTTCTGACCACCATATCCTGCTGCACCGACGTTTTTATTCGCGTTATGGGAATATACGCTAAGCCGACGAAAGCGAGAAGTCTACGGGATTTACGAGAGCGTTCTCGCGCAAAAAAGCTCTTTCTGCAATATTGATGATTCCGGACGAAACGATTCGTTGCCGAGGAAACAAGCGAAAAAGGGAGAAAGGCGAGGTGTCATTATTTAAACATGGCGACGCTTCGAATCTCGCCGCAATCGTGTCCCAAATTCAATTATTCGGCGATTGCTTTCGAGGTCGATCAGTCTGAGCGAGACCCGATTGCCGTCTAATTATTGAGTCGCGTCGTCGTCTTCGTTTTCCATCGTGTCCGAAGTGTGAGAGCGTCTGTTTGCTTCCTCAAGATCGAGAGAGCCTCGTGATGTAGTGAGTGGTAACGTTTCAGCGCATCACCTACTCCTCGTATTATATTTGGACGACCCGATTGGGTTTCTCGATATTTAACGGAGCAATAAAACATTCAGACTGATACACGTTTTGCGGAGGATATTCAATCCAGACCGCAGCTCCGCTCCGAATTACCCGACTCAGCGAGACGACTTTTAGATACCTCGCTGAGCGAACGCATTTTCGCGCGGCAGCGCGCCCTCCACCCCCTCACCCGGCCCCGTCTCGTCTCGCTCTCTGGTATAACCACTGGGATAACATAATCCCAATACGTAATAAATATCGCCGCGCGTCGGTCTCGCGTTCGACAGTATTGGTGCGTCTGTCTCTCATCTGGATGCCTTTTGGAGGGGAACCGGCAAGAGAGGCAGGGAGAGAGAGAGAGAGAGAGAGAGAGAGAGAGAGAGAGAGAGAGAACGGTATTCGGCGGGGCCCGGGGGGTGGATATTATGGGCGAGCGAGTGAGTTATACGCCTTTGCCGCATGTGTGTCGCATAAATCTGTTCCAACCTCGGTCTCGGCCCCCTTACGACTACGCTGGAACTGCTCTCTGGCTTGGAGCGACGGAGGACCGAGTGACTGACTGACTGCCACCTCTCCACCTCTTGGCCATCACCTCCTTCCGTCCTCCTGCCGCGCGTATTTCCCTCAGCGAACTCCGCTCCTAACTTTCCCCGACATTTCCAACTGCACATACTGCCGAATGCCGGGCGCAGCCGGGGGTAAGGGTGCACACGTAGTTCGCGTTCGTTTAGTTTAAAATACGTGTTACACGCCGGCGCGGGGTATTTGGGTAATAGGAAAAACGTGCTGATATACGTACTCGCCCGAATTTTTCACATTCGGCTGTAACGCGCGCGCGCGCCTACCTCACAAGGGAAATTTTTCGGTGGTTATCGTGACGGTGGGAAAGCCACTGGACTCTCTCGAACAGAGAGAGGGAGAGAGAGAGAGAGGGAGAGGGTGGAGGGAGGAACGTTTGTCTCGTATTTCGAAGGCGAAACAGGCGGCGCGAGCGCGGCCGCGTTGCGTGTATCGCGTGCGGCCGCGATACACGAGGATTACAAAGATTTACAAAGATAACCGCGCGGCAGAGCGCGGCGAATTTTAGCCGCCTCCATCGTCACGATCCCCGCGCGCCGTGATTCATCGGACGATGGGCCATCGAGATGATGGTCTCGGTGGCGCTTCGTAAATCGCGCTCCGCGGCATATTAGTAGGACTATATTTAGACGGCTGTCCACCGATGGAGTGGCACTACCCCAAGTCCTCTCTCGCGGCGCGCGGAGGTGAGTTATAGGCTACGGGGCACGCGGTTACAAGGAATACGGTGTAAATAACTCGGTCGCGGAAAGGAGGGAGAGAGAGAGAGAGAGAGAGAGAAAGGGGGGAAGAGCGAGCGGAGACCGAGCGGAAAAGTGGAATAATACACCGCCGGCGCGGCAGCGGTACGAAAAGTTAAACGGCTGCTGCATAACTCGAAAATATCCGGTTCGCGTACAGACGACATCTGCTCTTTGAGCCGCCAACGCCGCGAACGCTCGTCGCCTCTCGACGCGTACTCGAGAGGATGACAAAGATACAATGTACCGGCTGCCACGGTGACGATCTGCCCTTACTCGGCCGACGAGACGTCGTTTGCGCTGCGCGAGCGGGACGTTTGAAAAATAATCGCCGTCGCTGTTAGAAACCGCCGCGATATCGAGCGCGCGTGTTAAGGCGCATTATTTGCGTTTGTTGCGAGAATCGAAGCTCCTCTCGCTCGCTCGCTCTCTCTCTCTCTCCCTCCCTCCCTCTCTCTCTTTCTCTCTCTCGGGTGTGAATTAACCGAGCGACGAGGGGTCGTCGCGCTCGCGCGTACGGAGAGAGGAGAGAGGGAGAGAGGAAGATTGAGAGATATGCACCTGCCGCTCGCATCACCCATCCGTTACTCCAACGACAAGAACGCTTCTCTAATTTCCATTCACACTAATCCGTGACGGCATTATACGAGCGGAATCTTTGGAATTGATGCATATAAATTAGATGACGAGCGAGCGCGTTAATTAACGCGCTCGGCTTTGCGTTCTAACGGGACACTGCGATGATTACGATAATCGGAGCCGGGAGCCGCGGGAGCGCGGATTGTAAAATTGCGACGGCGGCTGCCAACAGACACCAACAATCCGAGACGTTCATCTCTTTCCCCTCCTGCCTCGCCGCCGTCGCCGCCACCGCCTCCTCCTCCTCCTCCTCCTCCTCCTCCTCCTCCTCCTCCTCCTCCACCTGCTACCTCGATTCGACGCGATCGCGAGCACTCAAACAGCACTCGGCAACAACAACCGCCTCCGCGTGCTGCTGCTGCAGCGCAGCCTCGGCGTTCGCAACATTGTACGCGCTGCGGTAATCGCTTAGCAGCCGCGGCTCTCGAGCCGTCAAGGCGAAACGATCGCGAGAGTGGTTCAGGATGCGGGAGAGAGAGAGAGAGAGAGAGAGAGAGAGAGAGAGAGAGGGAGAGAGAGAGCGATTCGACCGCGGCGACGGCGGCGGCGAAGAAGACGAAGCTAAGGAGAACGGGAGACGAGAAGACGAACGACGAGCAGGCGCTCGAGGGGAGAAAAGATCGAGAGGCGCACCTGTCCTTCTGTACATCAGCCGTCCGTCATCCAGCCGACAGATCAACTCTGTCGGTGCGCCACCGTTCTCTCTTTCCGTCCCCTCCCTCTCCCACCCTCTCTCTCTCTC